TTGTCAAAAATGTTGGATGAGCATACTCGAATGCTAAAATTCCCATGTTTTCTCATGTGATGTGGAGCATATCTCATCTGCATGTATGAAAGTGAACCTTTCACTTCTATGTGTTAATATAGGTCATTAGCACCTATTCGTGCTCCAGGAAGATTTGGTCCAGGCTGTGCTGGTGTTTCCTACTAATGTGGAGTAAGCAATTTAAATGTGGGGTGTTAGCATAGTTCAGTGTTGTAGTTGGAACTGTTTTTATGTTAATAGACATGTTGCAAGATATCATTTAAAGAAATTCCCAAGTAAGTACAAAAATAATTGTGTCTTTATAGCTCTTTAAAAACTGGTTTCTTTGGCACAGCTGTGTACTTGTTGAAAAGAAATCACACAAAGCCTCTATAATTAAACCATTGCGTGCTGCTTATTATTGCAAAAACCCCACAGAATTTGGCATTACCAGCTGCTGATCTGTTTTGGGATTGCTCTGTAATTGAGTTCACGTTCTTCATTTGTATTTATAATACATTGCTAAATTTGCACTACATTTAATGTACCACTCCACTTTTCTTCTGCTGTTCCATGAGTGACATGCCTGTGAACAGAGAATGATGCCATTGCTTTTTTTTCAGGCCACTTCTCCAAATCCATTCACCACCACCACCTCTCTTCTGCTGCTGAACAGCCACTGTCAGGAGTTGGGCACTTCTGGCTCCTATGTCTGTCTGTGCATCTGAAAACCAGTCAGAAAGTTGCAAGGGCAGACCCAGACTGCTGGGATTGATGAACTCATGACACCTTCTTGCTTAAATCTGCATAGAAAATGCTTAGCATTTCTGTAAACAAGATTGTGTTTTCAGACATGTCATGGGGTTGGACAGCTGCATAACTCTATCAGCTGGTACTATGAACTGTAAGAACTTGAGAGAAGCATAAGGATGTATTTATGTGTAGAAGGATCAAGAGTAATTAGAAAGCTTTCTCTTCAACATAAATAGGTTAAGACAATAATTTGTCATCTAAATTTCATTTTTTCATCACAAACTATGAATGTATGCAAATATAGAAATACTTTTAATATTTTCTGATTGAGGCAGAGAAGTATTAGAAGTTTTCCCTTATAGACAAGCTCCATTTCCTTAGTTGTTTGAATATTTGCATAAATTTAACTGAAGACTGTAAGCCAGCTGGAGGAAGAAAACTGGTCCTTACTTCACACTTCTGAAATACATTGATTCAATGTATGTATTGATGCAATGAGAACAGAAACAAAAATCATGGTAAACTTTCAGCCTGTACCTCTAAACAGATTACTTCACTGTGAAATCTTTTTCTTTTTTTTTTTTTTTCCCCAATAGAAATACTTAATTGTGCGTTCAAAATACTGGTTTCCCATAAAAAAAAATGTGTGCATTTGCTTAGGAAAATATGTCTCTTGATCTGAAGTTCAGATTCTGGTTGTTTTCCATGTAAATAACCCAGCATTTAGAAAACAAAGGAGAACAATCCTCAAGACAATATTAGACCCCAAATGGAAAAGGTGGTTTGGCAGCTTGAGGCAACCAGAGAACCTCACTCAATGATAAATCTTCATTTAAAAGATTTTAGAACTATTTCAGCACTGTTTTGTTAAATAGTTTCTTTCATGGAACTTTTTATGGCTACATTAATGTTACTAAAAATGCCACAGTATTAGTGTCAGGGACAAATGTAACAAATCCTGGTTAGATTCCTTTTTCTGTCTTAAGCAATATAGGTGCTACTGTGTATAGTTGACACATTTTCCTTGATCCTGTTTGGAGCAATGGACAGATAATGTGATTCAAATAGCTTTAAAGCAGACATTTCATTGCATTCCAGAGTTTTTGGCTGGAATTCTTTCCAACTTCCAGTCTGCCCACCATTTGCTTCACTCCAAAGGTTAAAACAGGGTCTTTTGTTTGCAGAAGTTTAAGTTTTCTGTTCAGTCCAATATAGGTTAACCTTTTTCTGGCATGGGAAATTTCTGTCGGAGTTACATGATCATTAACTCATAGTACCAATATTTCAGTTGGTGTGCAAATAACATCTATAGTCACAATCACTCGTTGGCTAACGTAACCTAGAGTGTGTTTTGATTGACATTAGGGCTGTTCTGCACTGACATTTGTTTTATTCAGAACTGTGGAAGTTAATTCAGACTGCCAACTAGAAAAAGGTGCTTCTCTTTGCTTCAATTCAAGACCTCGAATTTTTTTCTAAACAACTCTTTTTAAAATCTCGTACCATGATTAATACAACCTCTCACTATCAGACGTGTTACAACCAGTGACTGTATAAAATATGACAATGAAATTGAGTCAGACCTGTATTTAGCATGGACATTATTACATTCTTGCATGTTTTCATGTATTGGACCTCAGAATATAATCCAATGCTTGTAAGGCCTAGGTAAGTGGAGAAACAATACTAGAGAGAGAATGTGTGTGTCTGTCTGTCTGAAAAGTGGTATGTCTCCACCAGCTTCCACTGGGCATTGTTTTTGCTGTTACAGTTACTAGAACAAGCCAGGCCTGAAAAAGCCCCAGTGCTGTCCTCCAAATCAAGAAGTGGAACATGGCGTCTATGCCATCTCCATTGGCTTTGGCTATCATGTTTGAATGATGACTCATGAAGCTTCTTCCATCACTTAAAATTTTCCAGTTGTGTGTGGTAGCTTCCTTGTCTGTTGTCTCTTACTGAGAGCCTTTCTGTCAGATTAGAAGAAATGTGTCCAGCAGGCACTGACCTATTGTGTGAGGATTCTCCTTCTTGCTATTGACACTGGTTCCCATCACACAGGTCTTATTCTTTTTTAACTCTTTTTCCCTTATCACACACATCCAGAGCATCTTGTTACGTCTTCCCTCTCAACATGTCCAACTCCAGCAACATTCCATAATCCCCAAGAACTACCTCTTTTTGGCCCTCATTAAATGCCTAAGAGGTAGTTAACCTGCTCTGCACAAGCATAAGCTTCCGATGTCTGCTTTGAAGCAAGTCTATTTGGTCCTCCCTGTTTATCAAATGGCCTTCACTCAACCTGCACAGGTAATGTTCTCAGTGATGCTTTTATACCTTGGCTTTCTCACCCATTTAGTTTCTCTAGGCACAACTAACTGCAGCTTCATTTATGTATTCTCTGTTCTTGTTTACAAAGCATTTACACATTCTTTGTTTCCAAGTTCCTCAGAAAGACCTGCTTCTCAAATAGTCCAGCCAGCAAACAATGAGGTGTGTCAACCTGAATACAGGTTTAAAATGTCAAACCACTTTATTCTCGCATAAACTGTTTAATTGAAGATTTGAGGAGCTATAGTCTTGGATAAATTTGTTGTTGCAGTTCCTTAGTTTTCTGTTGAGAAAAAGATACTTTTCATAGACAATACAAAATAAATACAACCTATGGAGTCTGTGCGTGTGTGGGACTGAGCTACATAAATCTTTGATTAGATATTCAGACAAATCTTTACAGACCATTGCTATTTCTAGCAACCTTTTTCAATTGAAATTAAAACCATGCAAGACGCTCATTCAGCATTCCTCTAAACACTTTGATAAGCAAAGCTGCAAGTTTTAAATTAATTATTTGATTTTTTTGTTAAAATAAAGCAGTTTGAGTGAACCCAAGTTAAGTCTGTCTTGAATTTTCAAGGTTTGTGAAAATGCCATTTCCAGTTCCCTAATCTAAAACACTTTTTTGAAAATCTGAAATTGCTTCCGCACCAAAGAGATGGGATTTGCATAACTTCCCCCCCCCCCCCCCCCCCAGTTATCTTCATTCTGAAGAACTGATTTCTCTCCTAGCTTGTGAGGAACTGTGTCAAGTGTGGAGGAAGTTCCCAAATACTAATGCTGCTTATGACAATAACTACTCATAATAATTAAAAAAAACTCTGTGCTGAAATGCTTTGATGTTTGTCTTTCAAAAACTTTTTATTTCCAAAATGTTCTTATTGAAGCTCATTTCGTCACAGTTCTTAACATCAATGCACCCATGGCTGTATGCACTCTTCTTTTTTTTTTTATGTTGTCATCAGATTCTTACCACTGCAGATTAGTGTGACAGAGATGGTACTGATTTTATACATATTAGCTTAATAATATATTTTTTTCTTTGGTGCAGTAAGGCTTACTCTGAACATGGCTGGAAGAGCTACGTAACCCCTATCAGGTGCCCAATGGTTATGTGAAGAAAGCTAAAAAAAAAGAAGAACACCAAAATAAAACAAAACCGCTCAGTACAAATTGCTGTATTACAATTTTTTTTTTTTTAAGCCTGAAAGCCTGTTTCTTGTTAGTCAGTAACTGTTTAGCTGTACAGGCATCACTTTTGCAGTTGAATCGAAACATCTGTCTATATCTGAGGCATCATTTGTCTATGGAAAATTAATCGTAGTGCATTCTTATAAAAATCAAACAAATTGCTTTTTGAGGGGTTGCTGATTAGGTGGGTTTAGCAAAATTAACAATAATAAGGTTTTTGGAGAGAGTGAAAATACAAGCATAACACAGATGAATTGAGGGTGACTTACATCATGTGCAGAGCTCCTTTGAACCAGCTTAATCTCTCAGTCTCCATAGACTAGGAGGCAGGTGAACATGTTGTTTTTTTCTGCTGTGCCCATGTGGCCAGGGTGACATAGAGGCAATTACCTGTGTGTAATAAAAGGGAGTGCAAGTCATTGGGTTGCAGTCTAAAAGTAAAAATTATAAGAAACGCTGATCCAAAGAAGAAGCTGTATATTTTCCTATGGTGGTGATGGTTTTAGGAGTACAGAGTTCCTTCAGGTAGGTACAGTTGTGACAAAGAGTTTTGCACTTTGAACGCCATAGGACCTGGAGGCATGATGATGAAAAAAGATAGTGACTTTAAAGATGTTATGAAAGTAGTGAAATAGCTCTGAGGATTCCCAAAGAACACTCAAATAGAAGTGTCAGGAAACTACATAGGGGGTTGTGTTTTGTCTTCCTTAACTATGGATGTTCAGATATTGATCAGTGGAATAAAGTTATTGAGCAGCTGGGAACACCCTGTCCAGAATTCATGAAGAAGCTGCAGCCCACAGTACGGAACTATGTTGAGAACAGACCCAAGTATGCTGGCCTCACTTTCCCCAAACTTTTTCCAGACTCCCTCTTCCCTGCTGACTCAGAACACAACAAACTCAAAGGTATGTCTGACAAAGGGATGCAGTTCAGATGTCAAAAGCTACAATGTGATGAAGTGGGGATTTTTTGGTCAGTTTTCCTTCTCTCTAGTTGCATTTGCTTTTAATGCAGTTAGTTGCAGAGACAAATATCTGCATGGGTTTTGTTCAGCTGAGAGGCAGCTTTTGGAAATGATTTTTGGAGCCCCCAATGCTTGGCCAGCCAAGGGAACATACATTATCACTGATGTGTTGAGCCTATCCCTATGGCCATTCTGCTTGACCATGAGAATCTGAGGCGCTCCTGTACTCTTATTCCTAAACTTGTCAAGCAAAGAAACATTAGAACTTCATTGAAAGATCTCAGCACTTGCACTTTTCTTTTTTTTTTTTTTAGGTGAAAATTATCAGTTGAGCCAGATCCCTGCCTCATGGCTCTACCTTTACTAGGCAATAAAAAGATATTAGCAATATCAGCCATGTACCTGAGGTTTCATATCTGCTATTGGTGGATTTTTTTAGAAAAATGCTGTGGGTCTGTTTGTATATGTGAATTAGAGCACCAACTTATTTTCAGTGTGATGAGGTGGCATGGGGGGTTTGGAACTTGGTGATCTTAAGGTCCTTTCCAACCCTAACTATTCTATGATTCTACGAGATATACCCCTGCACAATATAAGTTGCAGTGATTTTAATTGTATATTGAAGTCTTGTTTTACCTGAACAGGGGATTGACTTTAACTAGAAAGAGATGAATGTGTGTTAAGTATAGAAAGGATTTCTTATCACAGCTCTGGCACCCTGCAAACTTGTACTGTGTATGAGTGCTGCACCACTTGAATACTTGGGGCCTCTTACTACTATGGCATGTAAAGGTTTTCAATTGCTTGCAATTTGCATGTCATTGCATTTTTTAGAATACTCTTTCAATTAACAACTGTTTCATAGTAAGGCTGCTGTATCTGCTCTGGAACTGAAAGGTCTGGGCAGATGTTTTTGGATACACAGAATTTTATATGCTTACTACAACAAAATTGAATAATGGAATTTTCTTGGATTTGGAGCTAATGAATACAAATGGCTGACAAACAGTGCTGTTATCTTTTGGACACAGGAAGCATGTGCATTTGAGCATACTGAATGCCAGTTTTTGAAGATATAGTCACAGAATAAAAACCAGTTTATTAAAAAAATCTGCTTGTGTGCTACTGTGACATCCTTACCCTACCTAAGTATTTCACCAGAGTGTAATGTTAATGTTTTAATTAGATATTACTTTTACTCAGCCTAATAATATTTATGCACTTACTTCTCTTTTTTTTCTTCATTTTCTTTTTCATTGACACGGGAAATAATCTTGAGCATGGAAGAGCTTAGAACATTACATTGATAGTAACACTAGAAATATATGTTGTTGTAATTTTTTCACATGGGTTTATATTTGTTTCAAACTAAATGGTAGAAACAATTTGGGTAATAGAAGGATGAGCCTGTGGCCTGACAGGCACAATGGGCTACATCATCAGGTAAATAACATAAAATACAAAGGTATATTTAAGGCTGTGCATTTCAGTAATGGAGGATGATGTATCCCACTGATTTAAACTTTATTATGCGGGACAAACAAAACTTAAGCAGTTCCTAGGCACTTATATACAATTATGTATTGATCCCAGGCTGCAGACTTGACATTATTGCCTCTAATGCCTTGTGTCATCGTTACTTTCCTAACACAATTAACCCTCCTCTGTAGGCAGTGATTGTTTTGTAACTAATACTGTGTTTATCTGATTTCATTGTTCTAGCCAGCCAAGCCAGGGACCTTTTATCAAAGATGCTAGTCATTGATCCAGCCAAGAGAATATCAGTAGATGAAGCCTTACAGCATCCATACATTAATGTCTGGTATGACCCGGCAGAAGTGGAGGCGGTAAGTGAGGCGTGATTCCTTACTTCAGACTACCAAATGCAAATATGATTCATAGATTCCTGCTGCTTTACAGCAGCTTGATAACGAGTGTGCTATAGAGAAGCAATGTTGTGACTGTGGGGGTCTTTGGATTTACATGAAATGAGATGTGTAGGGACAGGAGATATCTCTTTGTTAGATGAACTGAAAAGAGATTAGAGAAGCAGAATCACTTCATGCATATGAAGCCATTTTCTGCTTTCTTCTAGATCACATGAAGAAAGGGGTTTGAACCTTATTAGTGAGCTACTGCTCACCTGGTTTTGTTAGCTATCTAAGTCAGTCTGGCAAAAGATACTTTCTCTCTAAACCTTTTCTTGTGGAAAACAGAAAACATCACTTCCTATGTTTGTGTTCAAGGATCTATATGGAAAGGAGAAGAATTAAACAAAACAATAGGAAGTCCTGAAGTCAGGATTCCAAAAAATATTGGCAAGATATAAGTTATTCCTTAAAATGAAGCAGAAGCTCGTGTGTTTTCATGAGCCATGGTTCAATGTTCGCTATCATCTAAACTGTGTGCAAACAGAAATGGATTCTTTCTTACGATCCTGTCATGCTCTAGACACCTCTCCGCATACCTTGATGAGACTGGTTTTAACAGGAATAAGAGCAGACAGCAGGCACTTCAGTGACGTAACAGCTATTCGTACATATTCAGAGTTGTTCCCTGTAATACAATGTATTAAATGTATGGAAACAGTGTATTTCAAAAGGTTTAGAGATCTTGCTTAGCCACAACAGGAAACAGATTTAACCCTTGCAAAATTAAATCACTGCTGTTTAGTTATATGCTCCAATTCAGTGTGTGGTCCTGAAAGTGCAGTAAACTTCAAAAGCAAATGGAATGCACAAAACCCCATCAGATTTCACAGGTGCAGGAATTTTGCAGAGTATGTTACTTAGGAGTGCTTTACAGGGGATGGTTAGGCTATAGATAGTCTTTAATTTTTATGTCCTGTTTGGTTTTCTTCAAGAAGAAAGTTTAACCGTCTGAAGTGCAAACATTTGATACTCTGAAATATTTTACCAGCTGGCATGTACATTTTAGTTTAGCATCCTTCTTGAAGATGTCATTCCATTCCCAGATATTTCTGTTGTATTTCCATGGATTTCTTAACTCCGCTTTCTCATCTACTCCGATGTCAGAACTCAGATTTGTCTCTCTCTTTAGATGTGCTTTGCCTGTGAATTTAACCATGGAGATCCACTTCTGACACAGAACAGGAAGGGAATTTGGTACAGTGGATATTTTAATGTAATTGTTCGCCCAAAACATATGCTTTTAGTTGTTTTTCAGATTGAAGTAGAATTCTTGTCATGATGAAGTTGCCTTTTTAGGAGAAACTTCCCACACACAGCTAGAATTACAGCTGATATTGAACCTTGTATTACTGTCCTCTTATGCCGACAGAGCTCAGGGTACTTCTATGGTTGAAAAGACAGTGACTTAATTTCTGACTGTAGCATGAAGTCCTCAAATAATCTAGAATAAACCATATCCTTTCTCTGAATCATGACTGTAAAACAGGAATAATAGTTATACTTTTGGCCAGGTGAATTGACTGGAATCTAAGGAGCTCCCTAGCTTTCAAAAGCCTGCAGTAGTTATACTCTAGTTCATTGAGGTATTAGTCTCACAGGCACCTCCTGTCACCATAGATACCTGTACAAACATTGTGCCACATGCTGTCAAATCACATTTTTTGCATTTTCACTGTTGTCCGCATTTTATTGCTTAGTAAATGACTACAGAAGGTGTAAAGCAGCAGAAAACAAAGCTGTCATTCATCCTGTTGAGCCTTAAGAACAGCACCTTGAAAGTTTCAGCTTCCAACAGCTCAATGTTGTCTAAGTTTGCACTTTGAACTGCATTTTAGATACAGTTCCTCTGTTCCCTTTACTCACCTTGTTCCCTGCAGTTATTGTGCAGTTAACATGAGCTGAACATCAACATCCTGAGCTGCTTTCCCTGTCTCTCTTAGCTTCAAAGATTTCTCTTCCAAAACATGCTATACCTTGTCAATAATATACAATAGAATCATACCAATACTTTCAACATGAGTGTTTTGACAGTGATGTATTACTGAATTTCTTTGACCCCAATCACACTAGGGTACAGAGACCCTTCTCCTTCATGGGACCGTGTCATGTTAAAAAACAGGCAGGTTCAGACTGTATGCAGTGTAATCCAAATAGAAGAACATGGGATTAATAAATATTCATTATATTTTCTCAGAGTACTAAGAACTGTAGAAAGAGCCTGGCTTGCCTTTAAACTCATTATGTTTCCATTCTCATTTTCACAGGGAAAGTTAAACTGGAGAACTCCTCTTTATTTAATTGGGGTTTTTCTTGCAATTAACAGTATATTAGATTCTAAATTTCCACCTGTTCATGCTGACACACCTTCAGTGGCAGGCTGTGAATCATTTACTAATTATTTTCTGGAGAAAACTCATGTATTCAGCTGCTGAAGTGCACTCAGTCTGTGTTTTTTATTGGCATTGTCTCGATGATGGAGTAACTTTCTTAAACAGATTCATGGGAGATTGGTGGCTTTCTGTTCTTCCTCAAAAGAATGTCCTGAGGTTCTGGGACTGCTACTAACTGAGGCAGTGCCCCTACAAGGGGTAGTTATTGGTATACTGGAAAGAAAGTTTTACTGGTGCGTCTGTGTTAAAACTTACCACTTCTGCCTGAACGCTTGATATCTGATCAGCTGTTAGCTCTTTACAAGACAGCAAGGTAGCTGTATTTGATAAACTTCTCTTCTTCTTCACGGATTGCCCTGTAAGTGTGCAGGCTGGGGAACCTGACAAGACCCTGATAGGGTCAGAAATTAGGATACAGAGATGTTAAATAAGATGATGTTTTCAAGCACTATACAGTTGGGTGGGATTTAGTTAATTTGCATAACTTGGGAGCTCCTTCTCCCCAGTAAATGGCTTCATCAAAACGGACAGGCATTTGTTGTACAGTCTTTATTTGGTACAGAGGCCTAAGAGGACAAGTAACCGAAAGCATTTAAAGTGACAGGACTTTTTAAGTGATCTGTTGCAATGTCAGGAAATGTCAGTGTGTGCTGGAGTAGACCATGAAGAGTACTGAAGACAGCACTGGGAATAAGCAGAGAATTTGACGTCAGAGTTTAACGTGGAGATAATGACTCTCTATCTCTGCCCAGATTTACAGCATTATGAATGTGAGGGTATTAGACAAAATAGCCTTGTCCTGCCCTGTTAAAAAGCAGACTAGTGAGACATTTACAGTTCCTTTTTATAAGTCTATTAAAAGTTTACAGTCTTTCACAGGCTGTAGGGGGCAATAAAACCATTATGTCTCATTCTAATGGGCAAACACTATAAGACAAATGGGAAGTGGTAGGAATGCGATACCCTTTACACCAGTATGTAACAGCATTAAACTCTTCTGGTCAACCTTCAATGCCATGCTGTGATTCCCTCATACAGAGAAGAAGATGATGTTATTAAATGTGGTACTTGCTATTCACTAACAGCAGGAGATTACACAAACAACACTGTAATTCTCCCACAGACTTCAGCATAAAAGCAAACCACATCCAAAGCCCTCAAAACAGCTCTGAAAAAATTAAGAGATTTACATTTAGAAACAGGCTTTGCATGGTTTTTAAGCTTACCTGCAGAATGAGTGGGACAGCTACATTTTGGATTTAGTGAAAACTCTTATGTATAACATTACCTGTTTAGCCACTTCTTCTGAGACCACTCAGTTTGTTGCAGTATCTTTTATAATAAAGCCACAGTGTTAGGTTTGGTAGAGCATCCTTGCTCTGAAATTAATTTGAATAGTGTTACTCACAGTTAAGGTAATTTCTGTATTCAACCAATTATAACTACAAAATTTTTTAATATGCAAATATATACATATGTTTATGAATATGTGGAATTCCCAAGATTTTTACATGCCTTTTTACAAGGGCATGTAGTGACAGAACAAGGCGGAATGGCTTTAAACTGAAAGAGGGGAGATTTAGGTTAGATATTAGGAAGAAATTCCTCACTGTCAGGGTGGTGAGGCACTGGGACAGGTTGCCCAGAGAATCTGTGGATGCCACATCCTTGGAAGTGTTCAAGGCCAGGTTCGATGGGGCTTTGAGCAACCTGGTCTAGCAGAAGGTGTTACTGCCCATGGGTTTGGGGTTGGCACTGGATGACGTTTAAGGTCCCTCCCAACCCAAACCATTCTGTGATTTTAGTAAGTGTTGAAATCTGTTATCAGTCGTCACATCTAAGTTACACATAGGGAAACCAGAGTTCAAAGGGGAAAAGTATTATTTGCTAATATTATGCAGGAAATCTATTGTAAAATCAAAAGAGCAGAACAGGAACCTATAAACCTTACTTCTCTGTTTTCTACATCAGCTAAAGGTTGTTTCTTCCTGTATCTTGTATGTAGAAACTGTCTTGAGTCCACTTTTAAACAAATATTCATATTATCCTTGTGCTATATTTACTTTACATACATAACAGCATTTGGGCTATTACAATGAATAAATGACACATACAATACCTTTTCCCCTTCAAAGTGCTCTTGTTCTATTTTTAGGAAAGGTGACATTTTTAGCATCTCTTGCCTCCACATATAGACTATGCTGTTTAATGTAGATACTCTTAGTATTTCCCTGATGGTATATTAGCTTTTCTGCTTTCTTGTCTGAAAATCATAGAATCATAGAATAGTTAGGGTTGGAAAGGACCTATGCTTTAGACATTTTCTTTTACACAGCTGCCTTTTTTGAAGTTGCTGTAAGTTCTTACCCATCATTGAGATGATCTGTGAATAAATCCCAAATCTGGTATTTAGTTTTTCACATCTCCCCATGTGCTTATGAGATGCTGCCTATATGTGAACAGAATGGTTTCCTAGATACATGGTTTAGAATAGTTTTAAGCTTTGCCACCTTGTGGCTCTGAAAT